TCTGCTTACAGTCAAATTCAGTAACAGTGCAGTTTTGCTTATCTTTGGGGCGGAGCTATATTACAGAACTTTCTCTGTTGCTGAGATGCGCACTACTGTACCATGTATTTCTATAGGCTCTGGGCAAGCTGCTGTGGAACGCCGGTCGAAGAGCCGGTGAATCAGCTAAAGTAAAGGAAACAGTACAAATTCAACTTTGAAATGATCCTTAGCAACCAAATATATATATGTTGCATACACTGTTCGTGAGAGTCTCAATAACTAATGACAGTATTCTGAGAGTTTTTGGCTTTTGTTTTCACCATGATAGTTGCCAGGTGGTGAATATACCTGGGTGTCCAGAGGGTATACAAGATTTGCTCATGAACATGTATAAGGTGTTCCCCACCTCATTTCAGCCAACAAGCTAAAGATCACACATACTGTCACTTTAAGGATATTATATTTAACAATAATTTCTAATAATGTACTATGTATTTTTGACAAGTTAAACTGTTCTTGAACTTCAAAAACAGCTGCTTACATTTAGATGGAAAATAATGATTCTCATTGATATGGTCCCTTTAAAAAGTTCTAAAATGTGTCACCATTTTTACATCTTTACTGTAAATCTGGACTCAAAAGGAAGTTGAGGGGTGTTAGCATTGTTGCTCAAATAAATTAACAACTGTGTTTGGTTATGTAGCTTATCATTTAAATGAATATCTGTGTTGGATGATTGACTTTCAGGAATTGCTGAACTTCCAGTATGATCCATCATTTCCTATCAGAGGTTTGTTGTTTGATAAAGAGTTTGGTAATTTACTTAAGGTAAGTAATGTACAACAATCTTGCATTCCATTTCCAATTGGACAAAATCTTAAAAGGAGGTAGGAATTGGATGAGACAGTCTATTCTACATAAACGTGGGATAATATAGCCTAAGTATGTTAACATTTCAAATAGCATACTTGTTTATTCAAGTTTTATGCATGGTAACAGAAGAGAACATTACAGAAAAAGAAAACTAAAAAGTATGGTAACAAATAGAGAAATTTAATTGTCATGAAATTTTGTGGCAATGAACTTTTTACTGGGATTAGTGTGTCACTGTGTATTTGAGTAAAAGTTAATGATTTATTATCCCCCGGCACATAGTGCTAGTGGGAGATATAGTGGTTACCAGTTGTGATGGATACAAAATGTTAATTGCATGCTGATTTGCATATATATGTTACAGAATCATGGAAAGAAACTTTTTGTAGTAGTGATCATTAGTCCCTGTTCAGTCTTTGTCTGTGCGCCTGTCCGGAGTCAGGTGGTTTAGCGATTTGATTGAAGATGGCCGACTGGCAGTTATTTTGTATTTTGAAAATGTGGCATGCTGTAGTTTGTTCAAATTTAGTACACACTTTATACATGTTAGGATACATGTCCAAGGTGGTCTTCTGCTGGTAATCTTCTTTTGTGGTCATACAACTATATTTATGACACCCATGTAAATTCTCATATTTTTGTCACATGTTCTTCATAATACACAACTGTGTGTATTTGTAGGAATATCTTTCAAAGGTTGTAATAAATGTTCATAGTGAAAAATCAAAATATGAAAAAAAAAATGTACATACAGTAGAATACTTTATTTTCGCTAAAGGGATGATTCCGTGAAAATAAAATTCAGTAAAAGTAAATTCCATACAATACAACCAAAAAGCCTTTTCAGCGAAAATTAATTTCAGTGAAAATAAAGTATTTCACAGTATATCATTTAGGATAACATGAGTGAGTCTGGTTGCAAATGAATTCATGAATGGCAAGATTTCCTCATGAGATACATAATAGCTCGTGCAACAGATCACATGTAAGATAAGTGTGAGTAAACTTTAACTGACACTTCAAGTTATCATCATCATTATTTCCTTGTCTCGTGGTGGAGAATAGGGCCAGCATCTCTCCTTCTCCATGCTTCTCTGTCTTGAGCCGCTACTTCTGCCTCTGCCCAAGGCTTGTATCCCGGTTGATTTCTTCTCCAATTTTTCTTTGGTCTTCCCACATTCCTTTTGCTCATGTTAAAGCGATTCTTGGTATATCATTCCTTTCCATGCGTAACACATGTCCAATCCACTTCCATCGCCTGTTTTTTACTTAATTTTACTTATTGTTTGAATGTCTGCACGTTATCACATTTGACTTGAAATTTTGCTTTTGATTTTATGTGCTAATTGTCCACTCCTCCATATCTCTGATAGCTTGTTTACGGCACACTTCAAGTTATAGTTCAAGTATATTCTTAAACTTGGTACATGCTCATGTTGGACATATTCTCATTAAATTTTAAAATCACTTAATTTCCCACCATGAAAACAATGTTAGAAAGAGTGTCAGTGGGTAACGCATAACAAATAAGCTTGCACATGCTTACAATACAGAAGATAAGCACTTTACTTGAGTTTGGATACAAATATTGCATAAATATGGGAAATAGCAAATAGAAATATAAAGAGTGTCAGTGGGTAACACCTAACAAATAAGCTTGCACATGCTTACAATACAGAAGATAAGCACTTTACTTGAGTTTGGATACAAATATTGCATAAATATGGGAAATAGCAAATAGAAATATAAAGAGTGTCAGTGGGTAACACCTAACAAATAAGCTTGCACATGCTTACAATACAGAAGATAAGCACTTTACTTGAGTTTAGATACAAATATTGCATAAATATGGGAAATAGCAAATAGAAATATAAAGAGTGTCAGTGGGTAACACCTAACAAATAAGCTTGCACATGCTTACAATACAGAAGATAAGCACTTTACTTGAGTTTAGATACAAATATTGCATAAATATGGGAAATAGCAAATAGAAATATAAAGTTTGTGACCATATATTGGATTGCAAATTTAGAAGTCCTGTATTTTTGTTAATATTAGATTAGTCTATTATTAGTCTGTTATTAGTCTATTATTATAATTCGGTCTCCGTCCGCGTGTCCGTGCGTCCGTCCGGAGTAATATCTCAGAATCCTTTGGACCGATTCCTTTCATTCTTTGCATGTGCCTAGTACTTTATCTGGGACATATG